TAATGCTTTCTTTTCTTTAAATTTTGACAATACCAAAGTAATACCAAAACTTTTTAATGAAAATCGCAATTTTTTATGTTATAATATTATTTATTTATTATATTATATAAAATAAAACTTTAATCTTTCAGGGTAAAATGGCTTACCAATTTTTTTCCTTTATTTCGTTTTCATTTGGCGAGTCTAAATGGAGCTGAACGATGAAATAAACGTGCACCACCACCTTAAATTGTTGCTTCTCTGCCAGGTTCTTCGACCAAGTTTTAGGAAAATCTGGAGAACCCCCTTTCACTCCTTCTCATCTTTCCTGATAGTGGAATTGGATTGGTGCATTTTCGTGCTCCGTCACTCTCTTTATACAACAGCACATGCGCTTACGTGGGCAGAATTAATTTTCGAAAGAACGTCTCAAACTCTTCGAATTCATTTGAGTTTGTTTTTTGCTACAACGAAAAAATGTTTTCTTTCATTGAGAACAAAAGATGAGTCATGATACAAAAATAATAATTAATTTGATGGTGAAATTTTCTATAAAAAAACGAATTCCGTTGCATTTTTAATTAAAAGTTTTGTTTCAGTATAAATTAAAATTTCCAAGTTATATTCATGTAATTAGAATATTGTAAATGTTGCCAACATTTCATTTGAAACTTATTATAAACTTCTAAAACTATTTTCTTATTCTTGTTTGTACAAAGAAGATTGAGTAATTAAAATTTATGGGCACAATGTTTTGAGGCAATTTGTTGAATTGAAAATATGTAAAATATACCAATTTATGTTGTTTTTTTCTTTTATCTTGCAAATGATTACGGAAATTGTTGAACAACGCTGAGTTTTAAACAAATATTTATCAATATCTTGCTATTTTTTAAAGAAAGGAATTCAATGCTTTTCGTAATAAATATTCTTTTTCAAATTTATAAGTCTGTTTTTCAAAGGCTCACTCATCAGATGAAATAAAGTTTTTAATCAAATAATTTTTATTCTATTTCTTGTAACAGTTATTCATGGATATTAAACTTTGTTTCTATTCAGTCAGCGCCCTCATTGATGATTCTAAAAATAGTGCAAAAAATCAGCATGACAAAAAACTAAAGCTTTGTTAAAATAAAAATTTCTGTGACATATGTTTTTTAATATTCAAAATCTTTCTCTTTAGGAAAAACATTTAAGGAGCAATTGAATTACCAAAATTTTTATATGCTATTTTTTACAAAAATTTTGAGCGTGTCAGTGGAACGTAAATTTTAATTATTTAATTTATTTAGTTTTGGCTCTAAATTTTTGGTTAGCCGAATCTTTTAACTTTTAATAAAAAAAAAATTATGAGCCAAAAAAATGGACCACACTGAATAATTTTTGATCTAATGATCGGATCTTCGCGTTCTAAGACTCATTCTTAATGGTTCGAAGAGGTAAACTCAACTATAAAACAGATATGCGGGTTAGTTCGGGATACAACGCGGGTTAGTTCCATCAAAAAGTCCTCCACGAAGGCAAATTTCTCCCAATACTTGATCCAGGAGTTCCCTTGTCTTCTCGATTGGGTTCAAAATTACAAGGCTACTGAGTTGAGCAATAGTAGTCGTAAACTCAAAATTGGGACGTCTGTTCAACGACGGTTATAAAACCAAAATCATAGGGGATAGCCGCAATCTGAGAAATAGGATCCCCATATTTTTGTCGGGATAGCGATTCAAACTTTGAATCCCTATCGTTAATGTTTGCTTTTACTTTTATTAATACCAGTTTCTTACTCTTATTTATATAATTTTAATATCAGCCGATATAACTTTGAATTGTAAGGTATATAATCCTTCACACCATATTAAAATATGTAATTTTACATAGCAAAATTTAAAATTTGAGCAAAATTGGTTCAACAGCTCCAGAGAAATCAAATTTTAAATATACAACTTTTTTAAAATTCGATTTCGCTCGATTCGATCAATTTCGCTCAAATTTTGTATTTTTCCAATTAAAACTACATACTTTAATATGATGTAGAAAATTTTCTACCTAACAAATCAAAATTATTTCGACCATTCTTAATATAATAAAAAATACTGAATATTTTCTAAAAGTTAATTTTTGCATTGTGACTAAACTATTTTTATAATTATGTCTAAAAAATTTTCAATTAGCATTTTTAATTAGCATATTTAAGGTCACCCCCCTAGAAGCATTAAAATTGAGTCCTAAGCGTAAAGAGCCAATCATTAAATCAAGCATTATTCAATGTGGTCAGTTTTTTGGAGCACTGTACACGAATTTCAATATTTTACATGCATTTAGATTTTTGACAGAACTATAGTTTACTAAACATCACATTTTCTAAGTTTTTTTTTTCTGAAAGAGCATGTAAGAAGAAGAGGGCGTCTGAAACGTTCCTCTCTCACTCCCAAATATCTTTCAATAATTCCAATATGAACCTTCTTAGAACAAAACTACAGACTTATTTGTGATCACACTAATTTTACAAAACACTTACATTGGTCACAAGGAAATAAAGTTTTAGTAGCTTTTATTCGTCAACTCTGTTCTAAAATTGGTCAGCATTTTTGTAAAACTGTCAGTATTTTGATTTCTTCTTTCTTTTCTCAAATTTTGGTAGTAGGTCAGTTTTATTAACCCCTGACTAGCCTTGATCTCTGAAACACTTGTTTTCCATAAAATTGTTAGATTTAGTCATTATTCGTTTTTTTAATATTTTTCTTGTTCATTTTGCTATCACAGATGATAAAACACTGTTAATTACTCATAATTCACTGTTTCCTTAATTTTTTTGAAGTAAAATAATTTTGTGTCATATTTTCGTTTAAAAAAATGTTTTTGCATGTGTATAATGGTGGGGAAATTAATATTATTTTATCCATTCTGAGTCGCTATTTAAATTGCAAAATCTTGTGTCAAAATCTTTATTTTATAGATCCATTGGATTGTATAGTTGAATGAACGAACTTCAAAAAGGAAGTTAANTTAATATTTTTCTTGTTCATTTTGCTATCACAGATGATAAAACACTGTTAATTACTCATAATTCTCTGTTTCCTTAATTTTTTTGAAGTAAAATAATTTTCACTCATATTTTCGTTTAAAAAAATATTTTTGCATGCGTATAATGGTGGGGAAATTAATATTATTTTATCCATTCTGAGTCGCTATTTAAATTGCAAAATCTTGTGTCAAAATCTTTATTTTATAGATCCATTGGATTGTATAGTTGAATGAACGAACTTCAAAAAGGAAGTTAATTTATACAAATTTCTTATAATAAAGAACTAAACTTTTTCAGAAACTTTCAACACATATTTCATGTATAACTCTTAAAAACATATTGAGTGCATTTTTCTTAAGATAATAAATAATACCCGGAAGTCAGAATATCATTTAGGGTTAATAATCCTTACGTAATAATCCTAATCCTAACTTCAGGTTAGTAATTCATTATCAATCCAGGATTCATTATCCAGATTATAAAAAAGCAAATCACTTCAGAGAGATGTGAGGTTGTGGTTTGCATTCACTACAAACCTCGTCAAAACATATGAAATAAATAATAAACAACTTTTCTTCTTTTCGTAGGTATTCTATGTGGTGTTTAATTTCGTACTTGACAGAAGAACTTCTTAAAATAGTACTTCTTCAAGTTCTGTACTTCACAGAACCACCTTATAAAAGCACCTCAATTTTACCTCAAAAACACATAATCTTTTTGCAAGGGGCAAGCAGCTTCTATATAATTCTTGTGGGCTATTTTAAAATATAGCAAAAATTTAAACAAACAGGGTTGTTGCTATCTCTAATACAAAATAAATTTTTGTAAGAAATTTTTTTTTCTACTCTTAACAAATAAAGCATTTTTTCGCATGTGTTAATATTTTTCATTGACTGATTAACTTTAATTAACTGAATAGGAGAATCACGATTTTAGGCTTTTGAAATATGCCAACATTTCTTCCGTTTCGATTAAAAAACGGGTGAAAACTTGGCAAGCTTTTTTTTCTATTTTCAAGTAATTTTTTTAACGGATAATTTTGTAAGAAAACCTATTTTAAAAAGAAAGGGTAATGCTTTTCAAATGCTCAACTATTTTTTGCTGATACTCTTTTGATAAAAATGTCCGAAGTTATACAACTTAGAAATATAACTAGATTTCGGCTAAAAGAGTACACAGAGTTTTCTGTAATCACAGTTCTGAATACACATTTTTTTCGACTATTGTTAAAATAGAAATACAAAAAATATGCTCATCACAGTTCACAAATTAGTGAAGAAGTGAGTTATAATCATTAAATGAAAAAGAAATCTCTACATCTTTCTAATCACCACTAAAATAGTAACCTTTTGGTTGCTTGGGAAAACAAAGAGGAGTTATAAAGGTAATTATTAGAAACATTTCTAAATTTTCAAGGAATCAGTAAAGTTTTGATTCCTATTTTATCTCACCTTCCTCACTGAGAATTTGAAATTTTTCAATAATATTTTTTTTGTATTTTTATTGGTTAAGTATTAATGCAAAACCCTTGAAGAGTTTACATTGTTATATTAATTTTTAAAAAGATTCTAAATGGATTCATTAAGGGTAGTCATTAGGCAACTCCCTATATATTGATTCGCATATATTATGAGTATTATATTTACATTTTTAGTCTGACTTTTACAGTAAAGTTTTAACACTATATATGCTTCACTTAATTTTTAATTAACTGTTTTCTAACAATGAGTTGCATCTTTCTTAATTTTAACAATAGAACACGTAATCAAGATTGCATTACATAAAAAATTTAATTATTGCTTAACAATTAAAATTCGATTGTTAGTCTATGAACAATAAATTATATGCATTATTAATAAATAAATTAAATAATTGTCAAAGTCATTTTTGATCATTCTAACTTGTGCTTTCAATACTGATTGTGCGCTTTAGAGTTCTTGCTTAATAGCAAATTGATTTGGGGATATTTTTCCTGCGTTTTGATAGAGTAGATTGAGAAATGGATGATCATTTTAATCAAAGTGATCATGATTGGGATGAACAAAAACCCATCCCCCCTGATTTATCAGGAGAACATTACCAACAGAAAAGGGATGCCATGAGAATTTTAGAAGGCCACAACTTCATGTGCATCGAAAAGCTGGGGTCTGGCGCCTTCGGTGATGTATATAAAATGACGGACTTCTCTGGCCAAGAAGTTGCAGTTAAGATTGTTTCCCTGGAAGTTATTAAACAAAATGGCCAAAAATGTCTCACCCAAATATCATTCCACTCCTACAATATTTTAGCTTCAATAATCCCGATGTAGGAGTTTTTGTAATGCCTATTTACAGGGACAATTTGCAAAATGCAGCCCTAGACAGGCAATTTTTGAGACAACCAGGCGCCCTAGACTACCTCAAATTGTGGCTTAATGATAGTCTTTGTGGTCTAACCTATTTGCACTCTAACAAGGCCTGCCACTTGGATATAAAGGCAGACAACATCTTGATCTCGCAAGATAATAGAGCTGTCATATGCGACTTCTCTTGTCTTGCGTGTGCGACAAAAACAATACCAAGGTGAGCCATTTAGCATTTGTTTAATATTAGTCAAAATATATTGCTTAGTGTATTTTCATTTTAAGATTAAATTCTTTATCCTGTTGATAAATTTTACTTACAATGTTTTCAAATAGAACTAAGATCACTCTTAGCTTACAATCTCTCTGTCTTGTTAAAAGTTTACTGCAAGGAAGGGACGAAGAAACATGGTTTGGGTAATAGTTTGCAATCGGAGTCCCCTCTTATATTCAGTAATTTGAAAAGAAACCAATACATATGGAAATACACAAAGAACCAATCACATAAAAACAAAAGTTGTGGTAACCCACAGGTGACGTCATAGAGAGCAAACGCAGAAAAGAATATAGTGGTAACCAGAAACGGGTTGCAAAAACACTGAACAAAAATTAGCGCCAAATCAAAGAGCCCTCAACACTGCATTCCTAACCACGAGGGTAGTACTAAACAAGAGGAGGAAGTAATTAAAAAAGAAATTTAAAATGGAAATTAAAACAGAGTTAAGTACTACAAAAAATTAAAAACTGAAATGCAGAATCTTCTTGGTAATTAGGGCGATTAGAATTAATAAGATGAACAAGGAAAAAGTTAACTGATATAAAAACCTAAAAGGTTTTGTTAAGAATAAAATTGCTAATAATTCGACATTAAAATAAACGTATTCTGTCATTTTTGTATAAAGCTCAACTGCAGCACAGAATGATGCTACTACAATGAAATACAAAATGCACATTTCAAACTGGCAATTCTAAATTATGTTTAATCGTTACAGCTCTTTAAAATCACATTGGCTAGTTTGTCAATTTGAAAATTACGATCCTTAATTTTCCAATATTTTCAAAATGGGCACTGTTCTGGTTTACTTTTGGTGGTTTATAAGGTTTTAAATTAAAATTAATTTCTTTACAGGGATGATCTTGGATTGCCGCTCATGTATAGACCTCCAGAAGCTTTCCCATCTTTTGGAAGTGGGACAGAAGTTGATGGCAAGGCTTTTGACATGTGGGCGTTTGGAATTATGGTTTTAGAGCTATTTACCAGTAAATCTCTAAGCAGAGCAATAAGCTGCGCCGGAAACTGGAACAGAGATATTTATCCTATCCTGTTCAACATTCTTCAGGTATAATATATATATANCTAATTTGTGCTTTCAACACTGATTGTGCGTTTTAGAGTTCTTGCTTAATAGCAAATTGATTTTGGGATATTTTTCCTGCGTTTTGGTAGAGTAGATTGAGAAATGGATGATCATTTTGATCAAAGTGATCATGATTGGGATGAACAAGAACCCATCCCCCCTGATTTATCAGGAGAACATTACCAACAGAAAAGGGATGCCATGAGAATTTTAGAAGCCCACAACTTCATGTGCATCGAAAAGCTGGGGTCTGGAGCCTTCGATGATGTATATAAAATGACGGACTTCTCTGGCCAAGAAGTTGCCGTCAAGATTGTTTCCCTGGAAGTCATTAAACAAAATGAGGTTGAAATTTGGCCAAAAATGTCTCACCCAAATATCATCCCACTCCTACAATACTTTAGCTTCACTAACCCTGATGTAGGAGTTTTTGTAATGCCTATTTACAGGGACAATTTGCAAAATGCAGCCCTAGACAGGCAATTTTTGAGACAATCAGGCGCCCTAGACTACCTCAAATTGTGGCTTAAGGATAGTCTTTGTGCTCTAACCTATTTGCACTCTAATGAGGCCTGCCATTTGGATATAAAAGCAGACAATATCTTGATTTCGCAAGATTATAGAGCAGTCATATGTGACTTCTCTTGTCTTGCGTGCGCGACAAAGGCAATACCAAAGTGAGCCATTTAGCATTTGTTTAATATTAGTCATAGTGTATTGCTTAGTGTACTTTAATTTCAAGATTAAATTCTTTATCCTGTTGATAAATTTTACTTGCAATGTTTTCAAATAGAACTAAGATCATTCTTAGCTTACAATCTCTTTGTCTTGTTAAAAGTTTACTGCAAGGAAGGGAAGAAGAAACATGGTTTGGGTAATAGTTTACAATCGGAGTCACCTTTTATATTCAGTGATTTGAAAAGAAATTAATACATATGAAAATAAACCAAGAACCAATCACATAAAAAAAACAAAAGTTGTGGTAACCCGCAGGTGACGTAATTGAGAGCAAAGGCAGCAAAGAATATCGTGGTAACCAGAAACAGGTTGCAGAAAAACTAAACAAATATTATCGCCAAATCAAAGAGCCCCCAATACTACATTCTTAACCACGTGGGTAGCAGTAAACAAGCGGAGGAGGATATTAAAAAGGAAAGTTAAAAAGGAAATTAAAACAGAGTTAAGTACTTCAAAAAATTAAAAATTTAAATGCAGAACATTTTTTGTAATTAGGGTTATTAGAATAAATAAGGTGGACGAGGAGACAGTGAACTGAAATAAAAACCTAAATTGTTTTGTTAAGAATGAAATCGCTAAAATTTTCGACATTAGAATAAACGTATTCTGTTATTTTTGTATAAAGCTCAACGGCAACACATAATGATGCTACTACAATGAAATACAAAATGCACATTTTAAACTGACAACTTTAAATTATGTTTAATCGTTATAGCTCTTTAAAATCATATTGGGTAATTTGAAGATTATGATCCTTAATTTTCCTACATTTTCAAAATGGATACTGTCCCGGTTTACTTTTGGTGGTTAGAAATGTTGCATTTTTTTGCAGGGATGATCTTGGATTGCCGCTCATGTATAGACCTCCAGAAGCGTGCCCATCTGTTGGAAGTGGGACAGAAGTTGATGGCAAAGCTTTTGATATGTGGGCGTTTGGAGTGATGGTTTTAGAGCTTTTCACCAATAAAGCTCTGGCCAGAGCAATAAACTGCGCCGGAAACTGGGACAGAGACATTTATCCTATCCTGTTCAACATTCTCCAGGTATATATAAATATATATATAGATTGCTTATACTTAAGTATCAATATTCATTCCATCGAGTTTGTTTAAAAACTTTTTCAACTGCAAATTAACAACCAAAATATGGTGAAAACATGTTATATCAATAATAATAAAAATTTGATGTAAAAAAATTAATAAATATGTTTTAGTATAAAAGGATATTTTTAAAATTCCTTGTTTGATATTTAAGATATAAGTAAGTTTATGATGAGTTTATTTATAGTAGTGCACTAGTTTGATTGGACATTTAATACGAATTATCTATAGTTATAAATATCAAATATTTTACTGCGAATTAATTTTCGAGTTGACACATCCACAAAAGTTTAACTTTTTAAGTCAAAACTTGGAATTCTTCAATAAATTTCAAATTAATAATGTCATTCCCCAATTTTTTTACTGTATAATTCATTAACAGATATGAGGAGATTCAAAGTTAAAAAAAAAAAGATAATAGGTTAAAAAATAAATCAGAAAAAAAATATTTTACTCACATTTTACTCATTCCAAATATTTAGGCTCAGGACTAAATAAATTGAGATTTTAAAGAAATAATAACACTCAATTGTAAAGTTTTATCATACACAGATTTAATTACGTTTCTTTGGAGTTTTAGAATTTTATTCACGATTCCGAAGTATAGCTCACGCTTGTAGAAATTTTTGGAATTTGGAGATTAACATCTGAAAAAAAGATTTTTTTTTGCAAAAAAAGAAGCATAATGTGTTAAAAATTTATAAGCATTATGTGTTAAAAATTATTATAAGCATAATGTGTTAAAAATTTTAACAGCATTTTTTTCAGGAGGATGTTTTTAAGAGCTTCGTGCTTGGAATTTTTTCCGCGACGGGCATTGCAGATGGGCAAATTAAGATTGCCTTGAATTTTATTCACACCTTTTTGATGCCCGACCGGAGGAATAGGTGGAATGCCGGAAAGGCAATTGACCACTGCTTCTTTGGCAATGGTGGTCAGATCGGAACAGGACCAGATTCAAAATGGATAAACATTTTTGTGCAGAGGAAAACCAAATGATTAGTATGCGTAGAAATAAGGGAGTAAAACGTGTTGCTGATGCCAGTGTAAAACTACGGCAAGCAAAAAAGGCAAACACTGAATCTTAGCTAACAACTGAAAAGGATGAATCCGAAGAATGTGAGAATTGCATACTAATGCATTGGTGAAAAGAGTGGAAGACTTAAACGAGGAGTGTCAAATGTTAAACCGCAAAAATGTATCATTAGAAAACAAAGTTCGGGAATTTAAAAAGTTTTTAGGAGTTGATGAGTTTGCCAAAAACCAAAAACCTGTTCCAAAAAGGAAAATGATTTCTGAAAGTACACAAACTTCACATCCTCCAAATATAATAGCCATTCAAAATCATTTGAGTGAGCCTACCACTAATAATAACAATGCACTTGTAGAAGATTCATTTATGAGTTGGTTGCGAAAAAAATTAAATGCTTGCAAAAATAAATTACTTCGATTTAATTTTAAATAATTCGAAGCTAAAATGAAAATAAACAGTATAGCATCCAAGCACATATAAAAATAGTATACAGATTTCCACGTATTGTGATTAGACTTTCAGTACAATGCAATAGTATGAATAGTTCACAGTACAATAGTACGAACGTCGCGTCGAACAGAAGTTTGCAGTCACGGAAAAATCTAACAAAATATTTGTCTAAAGAGACCTCTTCTTGATAAAACGAAGAAAATATCATAAAAAACAACGCATAACGTAATTAACAATGACCTTATAATATTTGGTTATGAAAGACTAAAAACCAGACAAACCTTACAATCGCAAACACTGTTGTAGCAGCATGTTACTAACTGCCACTGTTTAAGAACGAAACTATTTTTGTCTTTGAAGGACCCATGAAAAAACAATTCAGTGGTGGTTTAATCTGAGTATACCAGATTTTATTGTAAACGAAAACAGTTGTCACAGAGACCAGTTTTAAAAACCATTTGATTATATGTTGGGGTTTGCATTGGTGACAAAGTTGTGCAAAAATAGCATCGCAGTTTAAAAAATCGTCAACAGTTTTTAAGAAAGGATGTGATGAAAATTCCAATAGATGTACTGTATGCCTCAACTGATGATTGTCAAAAACATTCACATCCTGTATGAAGTTAAAATGATTGATTTGAACAGAAGGTGGAATACGTAAAATTTCCTAATAGTTTGATTGGGATCAGATTATGTGAACCTGTTCAAAAGAGGTGATTAGAGATTACGACATGTTCTCTTCACAAAGCAAAAATTGACAGTAAAAACTATAAATTTTGAAAAAAAAAGAGAGAGAGATTGAACAAAAAAGAAGTAAAGAAAAGAAAAGATTAAGCAGAGAAAAAAAAGATTAAGCAAAAAAAAACAAAAAAGACTAAGCAAAAAAAGAAAGATTAAGAAAAAGAAAAGACAGCAAAAAAAGAGGGAGAGATTAAACAAAAAAGAAGTAAAGAAAAGAAAAGATTAAGCAGAGAAAAAAAAGGTTAAGCCAAAAAAAAAAAACAGAAAAGACTAAGCAAAAAAAAATTTTAAAAAAATGGACAGAAAAAAAGGAAGGAAAAAAAAAAGAAAGACTAAGCAAAAAAAAAAATAAATAAATAAATGCAGCAAAAAAAAAATACGTAAAAAAAAATATATGTACATAAAAAAAAACACTGACAGTATGGTGTATGGGGCTTTAAGAAAAGCAATCATTGGTCTTCAGTAGACGTTTTCTATATCCTATGGACTATACATTGTGTTGATTTCTTAAGGAAGAAAATCCTATATCTGACAGCTTTTACGTAAGACTCTTCAGTGGAAACGATTGACGATTAAGCTTAATGTTAACATGCCAGGATCCTCCTCATAAAGCAAAAATGACCAAGCAGAGGTTGAAAGAGAATGTGTTGGACTTAGTACAAAACAGAGATTTGCCTTCAGTAGAAAAGTGCTATATCCAGCAGACTGTAAAACGTGTTAGTATTGAAGGAAGAAAATCTTATGTGCTAAAGACGGACATCCTTATCAAAAAAGTTGACGGGTCTCGATAGATAATTCGCCTAACAGACATTCTTACACAGAGACATTACAATTAGCTCTTTAACTCTATTGGAATAAAAAAGCACAGAATTGAACACTTAGTTTCGTGTAATTTTTCTTAATTGTTTCATTAACAACGTATGGCAGTACAAAATATTAGTTTTGCAATTGATGTCCCAAAAAAATTTTAAAAAAAACTCAATTTATGTGCCTGGAATATTTTTATTTTTTATTTTTTAAATGAAATCCTTTTTATAACTGTGTTCGGATTTAAAAAATAATTTCCCTTTTTCATAAAAATGTCATAAAAAAGGTGGTTAATCAACATTTCTTGGGTGAATTTACTACAGCGAAAAATGCGACATATCAGTAATTAATTTGCTTAAATAAACACTGTAATGATTGCTAGTAATAAAATACCTTCAAACTAGCCTTTCTAATATTAAATTTTTTACAGGCTACAGCTATTTTAAAAGTAAAAAAGTCTGTTTATTTTTTTTAACTTCATATTATAAGGAATTGGTGCAAAAAAGAGAGGCAAAAGAAAACAACCTTTAAAATGCTACAGCTAACGTTCCAGTTGAAAAAACCTAAAAAAAAAATTTAACAATTATAATTACTGGAATACTTCATAAAAGCTGATACCTTTTTAAAGTAAATTACAAGCAAAATATCTGCAACTTTTTTAGAGGTTATTAGAAAGGTTATTAAACCTTTTAGAAAGCTGCAGTTTTTATGAAGGTTTCCGTTGCATATACCTAAACTTAAGCTGCAGCTTTAATAAGGGTTTTTTTGCACTAAGGAAAGTTTGTGCCAATTCATTTAAACCTTCGTGGGGCTTTTCAAGAGTCTTGCGCATAATTTTTTTTTTACCTTGAATGCCTACACAGGGGATCAGAATAGAATTATTAATGGCATAATTTTCAGCTATTTTCTTTATGCAAAACAAGATTAGTACTTTATTTTGCTTTGATCAAAATTTAAATTCTTAAAACTCTCAAATATATTCATCGAATTTTGAAAAATTTTCCAGCTACTTAAATTAAAGGAGAACCAATACCTTCCAGGAATATACTGGCCATCCAGACCCTGGGACGTGTACAGGTGCGCTCTTTAACCTGGCGGCCTGTGGCTTCATCACCTTCTTTTTAAAAAAAAATATATAAAAGTAATTTTGTTCTAAATCTTCGCTATTTTAGGAAAAAAATTATAAATACTAAATGATTTTGAGCCGCGGTGGCTCAGCGAATAAAACACTTGCCCCCCAATTAAGTAACCCAAGTTCGAATCCCAGCTGTTAGTCGAAACGAATTCTACTAGGAGAATTTAATTTTTTTTGGAAAATATAGAAATGTAAGATTGTGCTATTGTTAGTAAAGTAACTCGAATTAAAACAGTTGATATCAGATATAGATAGTAAATAGTTATAATCCCAGTAATAAATAAAAGCGAAATTAACTTCATCAATACTTACTGAAACCATACAACATATCAGATCGAAATTTAATACACAAAGAAAAAGCAATATTAGAGTACACGTTTCAATGCCGCGTACCTTTACTTGTCATAATATAAACATTTTCTAACCCACCTGATGTTTGCAACAATATGAATGCAATGGCAAAGTTTCAATTCAATAACGTAAAAAAAATTAAATGTAGGACAAAAAATTAAATGTTGGACAACATGAACAAAACATGAACAAAACAGTAAGTACAGTACAAAAAATTAAGTACATGAACAAAAAATTAAATGTAGGACAATAAGCAATTATAAGTAGGAGAGATACCAGGTTTTTCCTCGCTCGTCACCCCTAAATCGAATTATTTATCAACAAAAATATTTTTTTTAATATTGAAATTTTTCCAAGTTAATCTTTATTTAAACGTTAAGTTAGTTTCCATGAAAGCATATTCCATAAATCAAAAATTAAATGCAAATTTAGATTGAATCATATTTCATTTCAAACTTAGAGCATCTCTACAGTGCTAATGCCTAATAATTGCTTCCCCCCAGGACTCAGAAATAACTAAAATTTTGAGTAAGTTTTTTAATAACATTTATAATCAATCCAATACCAAATCACTTTAAACGTCAAATACTTTCAAAAAGTTTTTCAGAGTAAAAAAAAAAAATTACAATTAATATAAAAAAAAGTTTATCGGAAAATATAGATCAAAATTCAATTGATCGTGTCAACGAAAGGAGCGCGTCTGTGAAATGATCATGTCGGCGAAATGATAGGATCAGTAAAGATAGTTAGTGCGATACGAGCGTAGCGCACCGACTCGCATCGACCCCAATGCTTACTTAAACTATCCTCAGTGGTAGACGGATCATTTGATAAGAATCCTTTTGCCAAAAGGATAGTGAGAGATCTTTTTCCCTTCCGTGTAATGCAAATGCGGGTTGACTCCATCAAAAAGTCCCCAATGAAGGCTATTTTATATTTTATCCCAATACTTGATCTAGATTCTAGATCAAGTATACTGTAGACTTTACTGTTATGAAAGAATGTATGAATTAAGGAGTATGTTTATAAACGGCTTTCTATTCATGTATCTGCATACATGAATAGAACTGACTTCTAAACAGTCACACTATGAGAGAAGGAAAACCAATAAAAGAGTTTATTTCTAATTTACGTTTGTCAGTTAAGCTTTACAAATATAACCTATTTGAATACTTTTTTAAATGATTTCACTACTTAAATATATTTCTATAGTTTTTACTAACTTCTTTTCCCGTTATGAATGTTGTTGTTTAAATTTTCCAATTATTATAAGTATTAAAGTGTTTTCTGATCATGCAAGAAAACTGAGATATATTAATTAGAGCTACTACAATAAAACTACTTTGTTAGAACTACTATGTTTCTATGCAACTGAAAAAATAAGAAAAAAATATCCCTGATAGATATTGAATAATATTTAAAATTTCAAATAATGTTCTGTATTTAATCAATTCGTACGAAGTATATATAATCTGATTCATTTAATAATTTTAAACATAGTCAGTATCCTGTCAATATAGATCAGCATCTCCTTTAAACAGAATTTCCATTAAAAATTAGAAATTACTGATTATTTAAAAATTACTGAACATTAGAAATTACTGATTCTGTGATAAAGTTGAAATTACTGTATTTTTAATATATAATTGAACGAATCAGAAACAAACACTGAATAATTGTTGTACCGTATTTAAAATATGATATTTATATTCCTTCAATATGTTGAAAAAATTAAAATATAAAGCTTTCTCTAACAAACATTGAGTAGATATTGTCCATTATTTAAAATATGACATTTTACATTCTTTGAACATGTTTCAAAAATTAAAATACGAAGTTTTTGTCTAAAAAACACTCAATAGATATTGTACAGTATTTAAAATATGATGTCTTATTATTTTTAAGAATTTTTAAAAAACGTAATATACAGCTTTTTTTTCTTTTTATAATGAACAAAAAATTAGTTCTGAATTTTTTCTTTTTTTTTACATATTGTGCTTAACCAATGAGATTCAGTTTAATTTATTCCGCTATAGCAATGTTTTTGTTCTCCGTTTAGCTATAACTAAAGTTAAGTTTCAGACAATATGTATATATTATTTTAAAACTTTGCTAAACTTTTCAATAAGAACTCTAAAACTTTATTTAAATTAAAGCAACTAAGCAAGGAAAAAAGTAATTAAACTTAAATAAAATATGAGTATAATATAATATCAGGCAACTAAAAGGAATTCAATAGGTCCCGAAAAAACTACCTGAAGTTAATTAAAATCAACTTACATAAAAGACTTGCGTGGGTGTAATTTAACCAAAGAACAATAGATATTAATTAAAATAAAAGCTATTCTACGTGGAAAAAGTCTTTCTCAAAAGATAAAGAATTAAAAACTAATCAAATTGTAAATAAATTGGAAGGTGAGAAATAATCTTTGCTTTCCTTTAATACTGAATCTTTACAATAATAATAAACTTATTATCATAAATAAAGAACAGTTAAATTTAGAGCACCTTTATTGAAAATGAATTAACGTATGTTCATGACTTACATAATTAATGCAGGTAAACTTTTTAAAACAGTTCATTTAAATGCATTGAAAATTAAAGACTATTTTATGATAATAGTTTCTGATATAAATCAAGAAATTTTAAGCAGCAAGAAAATACTTCTTTTTTTTTCCTCACGACAAATTATCGGTTTTTTTAAGCTTTTCTGATAAAATTATCACTTTAAAATGATAATATTTCTTGTTTTCAATATATGGTAAATCATAACGGTGTGAAATAAAATGTCTGGTTGGTTGGGTCTAATGCCACTTGACACATGTGCAAGCCTGCTTGGTGAAACCGAACAAGTTTAAGGCAGAGTGTACGATTCTCGTTTTTCAGTGGCGCCACCTATGACCAAGAATTCGACTTCTGCCACATCATACGTCACACCTGTTTATAAGACGTACCCATTCATATATCCATTCACTCATCCACAGATCGTAATTTTGACCTGAATCCGAGTACGATCGATCTCCAATCCAGTACCCCCAGAGGTATTGATTTGTTATGGTAACATGGAGGACTTTGCGACTCGACAGAAGTTTAACATGCATGTGTCACCAACTACACGGGGAGTCTTCGGCCGGCGGGGTTTGAACCCACGAGCTCTCGGACATGGGCCTAGCGCCCTACCGACCAGGCTTATTATTACTAGATTAAAAACTTTATTGGCTTTAAAAGTATATAAATATGAAATAACAATCGTCATATTTCAAGCACTCAGAAACAGGCACCCAATTTCAAGACTTTATCAAACGTAAATTAGAAGAAGCAAAAGTAATTTGAATTATAAAGCGTAACTCTGCCAACGAAATATGGAAAAAAAAGTGAAAGGCAAAAATTAGAAAAACAATAGAGACGGAGAAGTAAATCAAGGCTAAATGCATTTTCAAAACTTCTGAGCACTTTGAACATCGGAACAAAATAAGCACTGCTATTTCTTATTTTTAT